GCATTAATTTCTGTTCTTTTTTAGACTTAATACATTTTTCTTTAATTATTATTTGAGGAAGCTCTGAACGGTTTAGCACCACCATATATTATTGTCTGCCCCTCTGCCCACAGTATACTCCCAACTAGTGCCTTAGTTCTATGGCTCCAGGATTGTTGTGATCACTCAGCAGGTCACAGGGTCAGCAGGTCCCCATGCACCCGATAACTCTGTTGCACAAAATAATGTTTATTTTTTCTTATTTTACTTTTTTTTCCCTGTGAAATTCTGGATACTTTCACCAAGATATAAATTAGGCCAAGAAAGAAAATAACTTCTGATGAGGGGTCACTAGTAGAAATTTAATTTAGTGATTGGTCACAACTAACACCTTAGGTCACCAAACACTGCAGCATTAAAATGTTACCATTTAAAACAATGGCGCTTTATATTATCTGTGGACCCAAACTGTCGACTTACTCTGTTTAATTACATGATCAGTGAGCAGCAAATTTGCTAGTGAAACCACTGACGACAGGGACCACCTGACCAACACTGCAACAGACATCACTAAGGTGACCCCATTTGTGCATTTTAAAGGATAAGGCCAGTCATTTCGCGATGTGTTTCACTCATATGTTTTTAATCATTTTTGAACATCAGTGGAGGTCTTTGGCACACATGAATGAGCTGATCAATGACTGACAGACATTAACTATGAACAGAGGCAATTCAGTCGGTTTTAGTCTCTTTATGGAGATTGCTGAAGATACTTTTAATAAAAAAATGACAAGCCTTATCCTTGAACTTTACACTCACCAAGCTAAGAATCAAAGCTAGTCTTCAACCATGTGCATAAAAAATATTTTGTCTGCTGCACAAAAAAGGCTTTCAAGTCATTTCCCAAGCTGACTTTTATTGTACAGCCCTATAATCTTCGTTCTTCACTCCTCACAATATTTCTTTACTAACCATTTTTACCTATTGTTTGATTTTTTTTTTTTTTTTTTTGTTAACTGGCACATGGAGTTCAGTGCCTGTACTTCTCAGTTCATCCGCTTCTTTCATTAAATACCACCAAACCGTGGTTAGGAACCTTTTCATCCCCACTGCAATATATTCTGTCCACAGCTAAACAAAGGCCCTGTGTCTCACCCACAATAGATGAAAATTGAGCAGAACAACAGGCTGCTGCACTAGAACTGAATTGATATTATGAAGTAGTTTAGTGTCCATCTGCTCTGATATTGAACAAATATTATGCACAAAATATTCATCATGACCCTTGGAAAACGCTAATGTAGGAGCTGCTATCTGCGTAGATAAGTAAACTCTCAATAACTTCCTTTTTGGCCATTGCATTGTTGACCATGTAAGTAAATATTTACACAAACATTTTCCAGTGTGACTCTAAAGATGTTGTAAGGCTTTATGTTTCCACAAAGTTTTTCAGATTTTCAGCTATAGTTATGTCAGGTTATCGGCAAAGACATCACTTCAAACCCCAAGATGAAACTTGTCGAACAGCAGAACAGAAATATATAAATGCATACTGTATACCCTCTCTCCATTATAAATGCACACACTCATGGCTGTGTACATGGTTTCTGTCTTGCACAGTAAACTTGTGAACGTGAAGCAGTGACGAAGTGGCACATATTTATATAAAGCCAGAGTCTGAGCTGTGGGCGAAAGCATCAACATGGCATTAAAATGTCATGACAGAAAATGTAGCCGTCCAACTGCTTCAAGTGTTTTATGGCTTGTGTATAAACCCAGATTTAAACAGTGTGGCAGTGAACGTACTCTGAAACAGAATGTGCCCATCCTGGTCTAGTGGAGGGAGGAAAGATCATCTAGTCTTTTAGATTTTTTTCCACTGCTGCTACTGAAATGTAGACACAGCTGCAAATGACAACTTGTCCTTTCTCTTAAATTAATCAAAGGGTCAGGCATTAGTTTCTCATATGCAGATGTCACACAGATGTTGTTTACAAAGCAGCAATGAAAAAGAGACAACTCTATATTAATATGCAGTATTTCTAGATTTTTTCAGTCCTATTTGAGGCAAAGAGAAGACAGTGTGCACTGAAAACGTCTTGTTTTCACATCCTAAAATTATCAGTATTTCATGTTTATTAAATAATTTAAATTGTCACACGCAGCTGTTCAATAATAAGGTAACCCTGGGACAAATTACTGTTTAAAAGGTCAGACATGAAAGTTCATTCTTAGTCATAAACAACAACGGGAGCCATCAGAAGCATCTGAGTAGGACTTGCTTATGGGGCTGAACTGCTGGAACATCTGGCCACAGTCTTCAAATCAATAGTAATGCACACTTATCACACACCATTCAACACCCGATGAGCTCTACAAGGTTGTAAAAATTTAGGGCTGATTTGTAAGAGTTTTGGAAACCTCTCATACTGGTGTTGTTCTGCTGAGAGGGGGGTCAGAGCAGGAAACGCTTCTATAATGACATTTTTTGCCTTTTGGACTGTTGAACGTACCATAAACACAGAATAAGTCAAAACACTGCTGGTCCCCATTGTAAAAATATCCATATACTCAGTGCCTTGAGAAGCACATTTCTCTCGTCTCATAGGCAACAATTGGAAAACTCGATCTTTTGGCATTGAGTTTACATTAAAAGTCGATGTCTTCTGCCTCGGCTCTTAATGATCATTATTTCTTCTCTCTTGCCTGAACAATGTGGAGACACAGGATGTGTGTTAGCTCAGTGCTGTGGATCTACATATATCTCTTTTCCTGCCCACATACTAATAAGCACAATATTTGTCCTCCTCCTCATCATCCCTGTGGCTGCCCTTACCCTCCACAGTTTCAGAGAGGAAGAAAATTAAGGCTGCATTTATCCTATAAGATAATACTTTATCATTATTTTCAGTAATTACATGTATTTATTTTTAGTTTGGAACGAAGTCATATTAATATCCCACTTTACTTTGGTCTCTGGTGATGTGTTGCTTTTGACCTAAATTCAAACAAAGTGTGTGAGGGAGTCGAACAGTAAAACCAGGATGACTAATGTAATTATTGTAATTTTTTTGAACTGCAAGCAACAGGCAGGTAAGGAAGTGAGGGCACAGATGATGATATTATATTGTAAATGATATGCTTCTTATCAGGAACGCCAAAAGGAGTTGACCTAAATGTAGACAAAACAGGCAGACAGGCTGGCAGATGCAGTGAGAGTACTTTAATAAAAACGTAAACCAGCTTATACACAAAGTCTGGACTGGCAAACCCGATCAGAGAAAACAGGATGCAAGGTCAAGAATAAGCAGGGGCCAGGAACAGACAAGCACTCCAGATGAGTCAACCACACAGTCCATGGGGAAGAGATAAAGCAAAGTCCAAAAATTCAGGTAGAAAATACAAAACAGGTAAAATTCTGAAAATGGGAAAAAAGAAAAGGTCACTGTAGATAAATGGATTTATTTTCCTATCAGCTGCGATGCTTCAGTTTACAAACACTGTTATGACATCTAGTGGGGAAATGTGTCTTCTGCCATAGTCCTGGCATCATAGCTGCAGTGTTAAGGAAGTTATGTGGAAAATAGGCTGCAGATTAAAAAATGGAAACAAATTATATATTAAAACATATAGTAGGACATATTACTTAAGGGTGTGTTTGTTATCTAGATATAAACCCTGTGTGAACAGGGTTTATATCTAGATTTCCACATCCAATGAAATCAAAAGCCCAGACACGTGCCGTTTTAATCTCCTTGTTTGATTTACAGGGTAAAGCTGCTAAAGTGCTTATGTTTTCTGTATATTGTTGTGATGAGTGTGCTTCTACGGCATAAGTACTTTTTATGTTCACTTTATGACATTGTGCCTAACTGATGCAAGGGAGCAGCTGGCTCGTCCTAGGGATGGACTAGATGCAGCAACACTACGGATAATATTTCCAGGATGACCATTCACCTCTTGTACTTATGAAACTGGTATGTTACTAAAAGGGCAATTTCACTACTTTCTCCTCATTCAGACCACATTAAAAACAGTCTTACACCAGATTTGGACATTTTTTTTCTATTCTACATAGCAATTTTAAATTTTATCTCCATCTATTCCACACTGAACAGGGTCTAGGGAAAAAAAATTAAACAAAAGATGGACTTTGGGCACTTTTTCTTCATTTAGACCACATCGAGCCAAATCTAGATGTTAAACTATTATTCACTTTTTCTCCATTTAGACCATATTGAGCCAAATCTAGATGTTAAACTATTATATTGTCAAACTGATCAACTAGGACCTCAACTAATTATTTTCAAGTTGAACTCCTTCCCTCTTGAAAGCGCTACAGGTCATCCTACACCAAAACAACCAGACATAAAGGACAGTTTCTTCCCCCAGGGCTGCCACTCTGTTCAGCAAAGAGATTAATCAAATAGTTGCTGATTGTCTATCAATAATCTAATCGATTGATCAACTAGCTAGGTTAATCTTTTCACGTCTAAGCTTGATAAAGGTACAGTGAAGATTCCAAAGACTGTAAAATACAGTTTCATTGTTCTTTTTGTGAAAACTGGAAAAAGAAAAGAGGAATTCGTTGATTTTTGTCCTCTATATACAATGTTTTAGTTACATTGTGGTTTCATGTCTGTGAAACTTTGACAGTGGAATTAATCCCTTATCCTGCCACAAGATGGCGACCGGGTCTTTTGTTGAGTTTGTGTTTTGAGCTCTCGCCGTGTAGGCGGGTGGTTGACCTCGTTCCCGCGATGACAGTTTCCTGTGGCTGTTTGAGACGGACTGGTCGCCCTTACAGCAGGTTTTACTGAAGAGGAGAGAGGATAGTCGGAGCTGAGCTGGTCGGCATGCATCGGACGCGCACGGGAGAGTGAATTTTATTTTAATTTTTACGGAAAAACGAATGTCGCAGTTGGATACTGGTGAGTGTGTGGCTTGCTTAGCGATAAGCGTAGAAGAAGAAGTTGTTGTTTTTCTGTGGTGTTTGATTTATGCAGTGCTGGTGAAGTCCTACCCCCTATACGTGTCACTTTGGACAGAACGTTACGACAGATTCCGTTCAAGAATCTGGCAGTTACGCGTTGTTCTACTTATCAGAACATTTTTACACATCTTAACCAATTATTTTAGGAAATTCTGGATTTTGTCATAGGTGCTCTTCTATTCGGCATACTTGCAACCAAATCAAAAAGCATATATTTTAGCGGAAATTCTACTTTCTTAACCGCGTCACACTTCTCGTAGGCTTTCACGAGACTCTTTTCCTGGTTGAAGATTGCAGAGGAAACGGTTGAGGCACTTTTCAAAGTTTTTATACTAATGACAAAATTACGTGTTGGTCTGTTAGATATATGCCGAATTTGAGAGTAGGTTCAAACGTTTTGCAGGATATATTAAACTTGAGTCTGTCATGTACGAGCTGGAAATGGTTTTCTTAGACATAAAGGTGAGAAAAATTGACATTTTTGCAAGGAAGATTCGTATGTTTGGGGACTTTAAGTTAATCAGCTAACTTTTTACTAGTTCAAGTTAAATACTGTAACATGGCGCATCTGGAGCAATATATGTCATATTCTTTCAGTTTATTAATATTTTACATCATGACAGTGTTTATGACAGATAAGTGTCATTGAACTGACTTTCTGTTTTTCAGGTTTCTGTTTAACTACTACATAAAACTAGTCTTTGATGTTGTCCTCTATGTCATGCTTAACGTTTGTTTGTCCCTATGGGTACAGTCACAGTGAGCATATCGTTTATATATATTATACAAGACCTTTGACCTGTGGAGAAAAAATAATTAATCTGCTTTGCTTTGGAGAAAGAAAGGACACCTTTAACATTTTTGGTAACTGACTATCAAAAATGTCTTTCCAGAGGGGAACTAAATAAAGTATGGATGGTTCGGTGGGACAAGGTGTCAAGGCGAATGGACCCATGCCAGCGCAAAACAACCTGGTAAGTTCCACCACGGGCCCGTCTCTGTCTCCAGAAGAGCTGAAAGAAGAGCAGCAGTCATCACTGACAGATGTCACCCAGATGTGGATTAAATTTGCCAAAACATTTGCGCTGATCTTACCGATTTACATCTTGGGATACTTGGAGTTCAGCTTCAGTTGGGTTCTAATTGGACTTGCCATGCTGTTCTATTGGCGGAGGAACCACGGCAGCAAGGACTACAAGATAAACCGTGCCTTAGCATTCCTGGAGCATGAGGACAAAGCAGTGAAGCAAAGCATGTCACCCACTGAGATGCCACCATGGGTAAGGCCTCCAGCATTATTACATTCCTGGTATTATCCCTGTGTTTCTGTTTATATTTTGACTCTATTTCAAGCTCCACCCTTCCCTCGTGTTCTCCCAGCCATCATCAAGCGTAGGATGTCAGTATTGGTTGGTTGTCTGCCAAACTGGTTCCCTCAGATTTTTTTCAGTTTCTGTATAAAAAATACAGACACTTTCATATTTTTCTTTGGATGTACCACTATCTTTATCCTCAGTGAGAAAAAAATTGCTACAGAGAGAACACCTATTACATTTCCACATCCAATGAAATCAAAAGCCCAGACACGTGCCGTTTTAATCTCCTTGTTTGATTTACAGGTCAAACTTTCTATGTGAGGTGTTGAAACTATTGGAAGCCTTTGCTATCAGCATTTTCTTGAGACGTACACCATTAAAACTTGTGACTAATGTTGACACAGTTTTACCTTATGTTATTACATGCTGTCCCTGAAAGATGGTTTTCACATGGTCAGGTGATGTTTTTGAGCCAGGAAAATTTGAATGTAGTGACTATCAGGGCAACAAAGAGGTGGTCTGACATTTGATACTCTGAAATTTCCATTTTGATCCACAGGACAAAACAGACTTTGTTGATTGTTACTGCAGGTCTCATAAATAGCCATGGGAAAGGTTACACATTCTACACTTTGGTTGACAGCCCACAGGCTCACCATCAGTTCTAGGATCTAATCTGCCCTGGACTCTGATCCTTAACTGCCCAAAGGAGCTGGTGTTCTCATTGAATAATTTACACTTGGCCTCTGAGCCCACAGGGCTGTTCTAATTTTTACTTTCTGTATTCATCCACCTGGTTTGTTACGGTTGTTTGTCACTGTGCAGTCACAATAACGAAACTAATGAGGACAAGGAGGAGACAGACCTGCCACATTGCCTCCTGTCTCTCTGTGTGTCCAATTTTCTGGTACTGACATGTGTCGAGTGCCTCAAGCCAATGTTACTAGTTCTTAGTATGCTCGGCATGAAGATCTAAATAGGGTGTGTACGCACAGGTTGTAGAATTAGCTGAACCTGGTGCAGTAAAAGACAACAGTCCTACAGTAAACACTCCCTTCACTGAGTGTGAGTGAACCAGTTGAGTAATGAGATCCTTCAGTCTGTGGTGGCAGAGATCCATAAGAGCACAGGGTGCTTCCAAAAGCTTTAAGAGCAGGGCAATCGATGGACAAGTTTAGTGCAGTGATGCACTCTCCCATTAATAATTTACAAGCTTCATGAAGTCACCATAAAAGGACACTTTAGGATCTTTTTTTTTGGAAGAAAATTTATTGGCAATTTCTTAAATACAACCCCAAATCAGAAAATGTTGGGACGGTGTGTAAAATCAAAATTAAAACTGAAAACAGTGATGTGTAAATCATCTGTGTCCTGTATCACATTGAAAACAATATAGCGGCACATTATCTGATGCGATACCTCATCAACTTTATTCTTTGTTCAAAATAAACACTCGCTTCAGTTCTGATGCTGCAACACATTCCAAAACAAGTTGGGACAGTAAAATGTGTACCACGATGTGATGCTGCTGCTCCTTTTCACAGCACTTAAAAGACGTTTAGGGACTGAGGACACCAAGTGATTAAGTGTGTCAGGTGTCATTTTGTCCCATTCCTTGCTGTTTTTGTCATTATATAACATTTTAAGAAGCTGGAATGGGCAGGTTTTACTACTCTTTGACATTTCGTAGATTAAATATTGAGAAAATAAGCAGTGAATTAAGCGATAGTCAGAGAATTGGTCATATTAATCAAAAATGCAAAAGACATTAGTCGTAGCTCTAGTTTACAGCAACGAATTCTAGAAATAACTTTTTTTTTTAACTTTTGATTATGAAGCATTTCCAGTAGTGTGAGATTTACGCAAAAATTCGGTGCCTCTGTAATGAACAGGATTCTTTTCTGCAGTAAGATTTTTTGTTATGATGATGCCAGAAAACTGTGGATGGCAGGATGCCAGCTGGCCCCTTCCCAGCACCGAGCGTCCCACCAACACATTCATTATGACTCACACCTGGAGAAAGAAGGTGCTCCCGTGCCTGATGCAGGAAGTGTGGACACAGAGGTGTCGAGCATCCGCTGTGTTTTTTGCAGTGTGAGTTAGAAAGCTTATCTCGTGTGATTGATGTTACATGTTTGACTAAGTCTGTTTTACCCTTTTAACCCACAGCAGAGCGATAACATTTGAATGAGTAAACCAAACATTGCTGATTGACAGCTCTTTGTTTGGCTGATTAAAGGAAGCCAGTGAAAGTACTGTGTGTCAGTGGATTAACACGAGAAGTGGTGCCCAGCAATCAGTGGTGAAGTTTGACCCATGAAAGACACTGAGATGCAGTCGGTCTGTTCTCCGTCTCCATACAAGAGGAGACTTAGGGCTCCATCTTGCAACAAACACATGGTGTGCGTCTGTGTTAATTAATTAATTTCCTACCTGCACAATTACCATTTTCATGACATGTGCATCATGTTGACTTTTTTACCAGGCAGCAGTCCGTTGACTTCGCGCCAGCAGGTGTGTCTGTCAGCAGTTTGGCTGAAATGCATTTTATTTATCACATATTAACAAGTTGAGTCAAAGTAAAATATTATCATGTTTGTACTGTTACAAACAAGCCGTGTCAGAGTGTTTAGTTTTTTTAATCTATTTTTTTGGAATGTCTGAACTGAAACTTTGTTATTCTACTGTTATTCTGCTGTAAATATATAAACCTTTGTGCCACAAAGGCCATCCCAGGTCACTGTGCCTGAGTATATGTTGAATGTGGAGTGAGTGTATGATAAAATATCTGCAACAGCAGCATTTCTGAGTACGGGAAATGTCAGGCCAGTAGACACAGGTTCATACAGTAAAACCACGAACCAGGAGCTGATATTTGTGCATCAGAGTCAGAGCTGTGCACAGTCAGAGTGTTTGACTGGATGTCACAAAGGACCTGAGCGGCCAGTGTGAAGTATTTCAAGACATCTGGGTTAGGGGTTAAAAGATTTTTCCTAAGTCTTGCCTTGAGCTTATGTTTAAGCTGTTAGCATCTCCTGCACAGGGTTTTGTTTAATTCATGCATATCTGCAAGTATGTAGATAATATGCAAAGAAATAAATGAAAGAATGAGCAGAATCTATAATCCACATGGTGCATATCTGCAGCTCTGCATATTTTTTCAGGTATAAAAGAGCATAACGTCAGTATTATTTTTCAGTTTATATGTAGTTTGGCTCGCTGCAGATGAATTATGACTGTGTCTGAGTCAGAGGAGTGTGGTTGTACTGGGCAGTTCCTACACATGAATGTCTGCAACTGTAGATTTGAAGCTGGGTGGTGCAGGAAGAGTTCAGGCAGGCTCAGCTGAACCCTTTTCCTCCACAGCTAAATGTTAAAACTACCTTGGCCTTTCAAAAGTCATGGAAACTGAACTATCACCACAGTGTTACTGTTTCTCTCTTCCTCCTCCTCTTCATCGCTATGACACATCATGCATTAGAAACACGGGTGGGGCTTTGCTGTTCGTTTGTTGTGCCAAAAGGCAAGGCTCGGAAACTCTGCTCTGCTTTGCTTTTACCTGTGAATGTTTGGCCTGTTTTCTCCTTTCCAGCACAGTGGATGTGAAGAAAAGCATCTTTATCTGTAGTAGAGGGGGTTCCCATCCAGATCTCTGGAATGAAGTAGAAATTATTGCCCTTTTTACTACTGTACATAACAAGGTACAAAGGTAAACATGTAACAGCCTTTGCAGTGTTCCTGAGTACTGTAGATCAAAAACATCTCGCTGACCAAACAGTGATGCCAGTAAAATTAAATTTTCAGGCTCTTGTCTCATGTCCCTGTGCCGGTATGTTTGAGACACTTGGTTTAGAGCCTTAAAACATCTATGACCAGGGTGTGATGATCTCATATATTCTGTTTCTATTCAAATGTATTCTTACTATGTTGTTGAGGGATATTTAGCTTGTCACAGGGTTTATAGTGAAAATATTAGGGCTGTACCCGACTAAGAATTTTGTCAGTCGGCTCTCCACATTTCATGTCCACAAGCACTGAAGCTAATTCAGATTCGAAGAATATTTGGTGGGTTTTGCATTTAACTTGTTGCTTTATTGCGAAGCTCTGAGTTTAATAATTGACAACCATGAGTTTTAGTAGTTAATAGACGGTATGTGCACAACTCAGCTGACTGAAGACATGCTATTACAGGCAGTCATATCAAAATCTGTAGAACATCCAGATCTATTCTGTTCGCCTCCCTACCCTCGACACAATAGAGCGCTCAGGTTTCCTCGACTGCTCTCTCTCCGGGCTGCAATCTGTCCTCATCCTATCCTCAGTCTGTCTCTCTTTGAGGCTAAATATAGACGTCAGCAACCATCTTGTCATGTCTTCTTGTTTCTGCACCTCTCAACACCTCCTGTAGTTTGAATGGAAGCAGATTTAGCAGGCTGCCTTGTTCTTGTTGTCATCGTCCTCGCACTGTGCCACTGTCAGCAGCCAGAGATAGGGTGGAAATTTAAATGAATAACTTCCAGAGTTATTCATCCTCTCCACTCCTCTCTCACACACGCGTTGTGACGGGGGTGTGGTGGGGCGAGGTCCAAACAGCTGTTACAAAGTTGAACTGTGAGTCTCGCCCACTTGAAACCCTTTGACACAAATACACATAAAGGATGCTTCTATGCAGGTCACTGATTCTGGCTCCTGTCCTGAAACAATTTTGCAGAAAACTCTCATACGGTGTAAGAGGTCTGGTCTGTGTCTGCTGCCTGACCCACAGGTTGTGTTTGTGTGTGTGTGTGTGTGTGTGTGTGTGTGTGTGTGTGTGTGTGTGTGTGTGTGTGTGTGTGAGGTTAGGGGGCATTCAGACTGATCAGCACTGCACAGAACAAATGCACAGGTCTGTGCTGGTGTGGGTGTGTTGCTATAGGCAGATGAAATGTGATCCAGGAAGGCCAGTGTGAGTAACGCATCCATGG